GTCAGTAATCAAAAATCTCCAAAAAACAAAAAAGTCCAGGGCCAGGGGGCTTCCCAGCGGAATTCTAACAAACACTTAAAAAAGAGTTACTATCTACTCTTCTCAAACCATTATATAAAACAGAAATTGAAGGAGAACTTCCAAATTCAGTTTATGAGGCCAGCATTACCCTGATTCCAAAACCAAACTAAGACTCCAATAATAAAGAAAACTATAGGCTGATATCCCTGATGAACATAGATTAAAAAAAAATTCTCAACAAAATACTAGCAAATTGAATCCAACAGTATGTTAAAAGAATCATTCACTAAGATCAAGTGGGATTTATTCCTGTGCTGCAAGGGTCGTTCAATATTTGCTAATCAATCAACATGATATACCATATTAATAAAATAAAGGGTAAGAATCCTTTTGATAGATACAGAAAAAGCATTTGACAAAGTACAACATGATAAAAACCCTCAGCAAAACTAAGGACAGAGGGAACAAACTTCAACATAATAAAGGCCATATATGAAAAACCCACAGCTAGTATCTTCTTCAAAGGGGGAGAAACAGAGCTTTTCCTCTATGGTCAGGGTAAGATGGGGATGTCCAGGGGAATCCCTGGGTGGCTCAGCGGTTTAGCGCCTGCCTTCGGTCCAGGGTGTGATCCTGATGACCTGGGATTGAGTCCCGCATCAGGCTCCCTGCATAGAGTCTGCTTCTCCCTCTGCCTGTGTCTCTGCCTCTCTCTCTCTCTCTCTCTCTCTCTCTCTCTCTCTCTGCATCTCTCATGAATAAATAAATAAAATCTTAAAAAAAAAGATGGGGATGTCCACTCTCACTACTGTTATTCAACATACTATTGGAAATCCTAGTCTCAGCAGACAGCAAAAAGGAATAAGAGGCATCCAAATCAGCAAGGAGGAAGCCAAACTTGGACTAACTGCAGATGACATGATACTGTATATATAGAAAACCCTAAAGACTCCACTAAAAAATTGCTAGAACTGATACATGATTTCAGTAAAGTCACAGGATAGAAAAACAACATACAGAAATCTGTTGCGTTTCTATACACCAATAATGAAGCACCAGAAAGAGAAATTAAAGAATCTACCCTATTTATAATATTACCAAAACCCATAAGATATCTAGGAATAAACATAACCAAAGAGGTAAAACATCTATGCAACATTTATGAAAGCAACTGAAGATGACATCAAAAAATGGAAAAACCTTCCATACTCATGGAGTGGAAGAACAAATATTGTTAAAATATAACCAAAACAATCAAAATACCAACAGCAATTTACATAGAATTACAACAAAGAATCCTCAGATTTGTAGGAAACACAAAAGACTCCAAATAGCCAAAGCAATCTTGAAAAAGAAAAGTAAAGCTGGAGCGGCACCTGGGTGGCTCAGTGGCTGAACATTTGCCTTTGCCTCAGGTCCTGGGATGGAATTCCACATGAGGCTCCCCGCAGGAAGCCTGCCTCTCCTTCTGCCTATGTCTCTGCCTCTCTTTCTCTGTGTATCTCATGAAGAAGTAAATAAAATCTTTTTTTTTTAAAGCTGGAGCATCAGAAATGGTCTTCAAGTTATATTACAAAGCTGTAGTCATCAAGACAGCATGGAAATGGCACAGACACATAAATCAGTAAAACATAATAAAAAATCCAGAAATAAACCCACAACTATATGGTTAACTAATATTTGGCAAAGCAGGATAGAATATCCAATGGAAGAAAGACAGTATCCTTAACAAATGGTACTGGGGAAACTGGATAGCAGTATGTAGAAGTCTCAAACTGGACTGCTGTCTTACAACATACAGAAAAACAAATTCAAAATGGATTAAAGACCTAACTGTGAGACGGGAAACCATTAAAATCCTAGAGGAGAACAGAGGAAGTAACCTCCTTGACGTTGACTGTAGCAACTTCTTACTAGATAGGTCTCCTGAGGCAAGGGAAACAAAAGCAAAAATAAACTACTGAGACTTCCTCAAAATAAAAAAGCTTCTGCACAGCAAAGAAGATGATCAACAAACTAAAAGGCAAACTTCAGAGTGGGAGAAAGTATTTGCAAATTACATATCTGATGAAGGATTAGTATCCAAAATATTTAAAGAACTTATCAAACTCAACCCCCAAAAAACAAATAATCCTGTTAAAAAATGAGAAGACATGAGTAGACATTTTTCCAAAGAAGACACACAGATGGTCAAGACACACATAAAAAGATGCTCAACATCACTCATCATCAGCGAAATGCAAACCAAAATTACAATGAGATATCACCCTATACCTGTCAGAATGAGTAAAATTAACAACATAGGAAACAAGAGCTGTTGGTGAGGATGAAGAAAAAGGGCAAACCTCTTACACTGTTGGTGGGAATGCAAACTGGTGCAGCCACCCTGCAAAACAGTATGGAGCTTCCTCACAAAGTTAAAAATATAACTACCCTACAACCCAGCAATTGCACTACTATTTTTTTTGCCCAAAGCAAAGAAATATACTGATTCAAAGGGATACATGCACCCCAATGTTAAAGCAGCATCATCAATAATAGTGAATTAATGGAAAAAGCCCAAATGTCCATGGATCAGTGAATGGATAAAGATGTGTATATACGCGCACTCAGCCATCAAAAAGAATGAAATCTTGTTGTTTGTGATGACATAGACAGAGCTAGAGACTATTATGATAAGTGAAATAAGTCAGTCAGATAAAGATAAACACCATATGATTTTATTCACATGTGGAATTAAAGAAACAAAGCAAATGAACATAGGCAGGAATAAAAGAGAGGCAAACCAAGAAACAGGCCAACTACAGAGAACAAACTGATAGTTACTAGAAGGGAAGTGGGATGGGTTAAACCAGTGATGGCTATTAAGGAGGGCACTTGTGATGAATACCAGGTACTGTATGTGATGAAATCACTAAATTCTATACCTGAAACTAATATTGCACTTTGTTAACTAGACAGAATTTAAATAAAAATTTGGGGAAAACAAAACAAAACAAAACCATTTATACCTTAATGAAAATAACAAAAACCAAACAAAAATAACTAAGAATCATATTTGACTCCAGTAGATCCGGAACGATCATCTTGATAAGGGCCTAGGATGAATTAAGATCTAAAGCTTCACCCTATCTTAGAACACTGGCTAAATCCTGAACTTCACAGATCAGTGTTTCTTAGTGTTATCTATGGGGCACCTACCTACATTAGATTCATTTAGCGTGTTCCTCAAAACTGCAAATTCCCTAGCTCCATTTTACTCTCTGGAGGTGAGGCAGAGAAATCTCTTTAAAAACAAAACAAAACAAAACAAAAAGAGAACTAGCTTCCCCAGTGATTCTTAGGCACATTAAAATTTGAAAACTACCAATATTTCATCTTTAGAACCTTAGCCTTATGCTATCTGTTGGAACTGAAATCTGTAGCAGATCATAAATAAGAGTTCCTCTCTCCAGAGTTTATAATAAAGACTACATCAAAGTTAAGGTAAATGTAACCTTTAGTTGAACACATGCTATTACTATAACTAATGTATTCATTTGTTAAAAAAAAGAAACATGAGCCATCTAAATTCTTCATGTCACTAAGAGTAAAAAGTAAAACTGGAATTGGGCCCCAAAAAGGTAAAAGGATTTAAGTAAATAATAACCAAAAAAACAATTCACTATCTGGCTTTCCATTATGGGAACACACTCATGCTTCAAAATCAATGTAGAAGGAAAAATGACTCTAAGTGGCTTAAAAACAATTCCTTCATGAATCTCCACACCTAGTATATGAATATCTTGGGCCTTCAAGGATAGTGAAAAATCTATATATTATCATTTTTCATTTATGTGGTACCTTTGAATTAATGTGCTAAACGTACTTTACAAGCCTTTAAACTATCTCTATATTATCTTATACTAGAGAATTACTTTCTAAGGTAAATTCACTGCCTAAATATTGAATGTTCCAGACTTGAATTTTTTTCCACCATCTCTCAAAATACTAGTTGTTTGTATTATAATTAGTCTATAGGAAATTCTGCCACTTAGACTATACAAAATTACTGTAAAATGAAACAGCTTATATTTTTAAACTTCCAGTTCACAACATTATTTTATGGCTTGAACAATACTATTTATTTATATACTCCTAAAAATAGTCATACCAGAGATATAGGTTAGTAGATGCTTACCAACACATAACTAGAAAGAGAAATACATAGCAATTTAAACAGCTCCTAAAACTTAAGATAGTTTTAATTTAAACACAGAAATCAAAGAGTACTACTTAGTGTAATTCAGACAAGGGCATATCTTAGTAACCAAATAATAAATCCTGGAAAAATATAATTGAAATATAAAAACACAGACATAAATAGATAGTGCTTGACATTTTTTATTTTTATTATTATTTTTTTTGCTTGACATTTTTTAAAAGCAGGTACATTCTTATTTCAATCCAAAACTGGTCTGTAGGCCTAATATGATTGTATAAGAATTTATCCTCAGATAACAAGGCAGCATAGTTTATGACAACAATCTACCTAAAAAATCATTAAATTATTTTCTCTTAGGAGTGACATGCATTATCAGCAGAGATTAATCTGATGAGTCTTTAGGTGAGCTCCATTTTTAAAAACGCAATAACAGAGGGCTTTGTTATCATCTGATAAAAATCAATTAGAGGAGATAAGGGCACAAGGAAAACTAATATCACTCAATACCCACCCCCTGGCAACTGAAATGATTTGTTTTCCAAGCTTGGATGACCAGGAGCTATAGTTATATTGCAGGGAAATTAATTTAGTTTCTCCATTCTGAACTTACTTTCTTTGTTCTGGAGGATCTAAATACAAATTACTTTTAATCAAGGTTGATATAATATTAATACCCAGGAGGATCTTTGAAGAATCATTTTTTTTAAATTGACTTTAGCATTTTTCACCTGTGCTTGGGGTGTAATTATAGGAACATAACTTATATCATCCTTACTTTCTGGATTCCTTGTCCACAACAAGGCACTGTACTGAATGGCGAAGACAATAGATTCCACCAAACACTGCACACATCCTAAGAAGAGAATATGAAAGTGTGAATTAGGATTTAGTTGATAATTAAGGTAGCAGTATTTTCTTTGAAATATCTTACATTTAATAACTGATCTTACAGAAAAATAATTTTGATAACTTATTTTCTGTCATATTAAGAATCCCTCAGAAGATTAGTTTTGATGCAGCAAGAGGTACCATACTAATAATACAATGTGCAAGCCTAGAATTATGATTGAGCCAAAAGTATCTCCAAGTGAAGCTCAGCTATTCCCCCAAACCACTTACCATCTAAGATACACGGGCTACAAATATCCTCAAGAGGTAATGTCTGAGACTACCAACAGAAGTGATCACAGAGGGGCACCTAGGTGGCTTAGTCTGTTGAACACCTGACTCTGGATTTCAGCTCAGGTCATGATTTCATGCTCCTGGGATTGAACCCTAAATCAGGTTCTTTGCCCAGCAGGGAGTCTGTTTGAGATTCTCTCTCCTCTCATTCAGTCCTTCCCCCACTCATGTGAGCTCACTCTCAAGCTTGCTCTCTCCTTGTAAAATAAATAAATAAATCTTAAAAAAAATAGAAGTGACCATAGAGAAGTGCTGAGGAGGAAGCAAGCAGGGAAGACTCTGGGAGACTCCTGGGGATTTTGCTTACCATAAAAGTAAGCAAAAACTACACTGGGAACTGAAAACTAGAGCAGTAAGCACATGAGCTAATGCTGCAGAAGTTCTAAGGAGTTTGCCTATCTCATGAACTTAAGGGCTTGGGTTTTAATGCTCACATGGGGACAGGAGAGGACTTAGAATCCAAATAAGGCAGAGGGTAGAAGATGAGATATTCTCATCTCAATGTCTGGATCCTTAAAGAACTACACTTCAGTGAAAAGGTGATGGTGGGGGGAACCCACAAGAGGGAGAAAACAAAAAATGTTTTATCTAAAGACCCGGCTGAAAGAAGATTATACCTCTGTATTTATAACCAGTGGTCTGTCCTCACACAGGCTATGGGTTTGAAATTATACTACATGATCCAAGAAAACCCTTCACCAATAAAATACCATGAAAGAAAAGTGGCTCTGGTCAGTAGCACCTCTGAAGACTTGGTGGAAGCAATTGCTGTAACTTTCTGGAGCCACATGAAAGTGCCACAGATTGAGTTTCCTTATGATATGTTTATAATCTAAAATTATATAACAGATGAAGAAAAATATCTTACCCTGAGTGAGGATTAACAACACAACAAATGGGGTGGGGTACCTGAAGTACAGGCAGTCTTGTGGGGACTGCATCCTTTAACTGCACAGTTGGTTTAACCTCTCACATTGTATAATGGGATACTATAAACAATTTAAATGAATGAACTACATGGATAAATGGCAAAAAGACAAAAAATGAGTGATAATAGCAAATTGGGAAGAATATACTCAGAGTGATATCATTTATAAAAAGTTTCAGAACTTCATATGCAAAATACTACTATATAAAATTTATGGATATGTATATATGCAGTAAAAGTGCAGAAACATTTAAGGGAATTATAAACACCGAAATCAGGATAGCAGCTATCTTTGGGAAGAGAGGGAGTAAACATTACACTGGAAGTTTCAATTGTTCAGTTTCTTAAAAAAATGTATCAAGGGGCACCTGGGTGGCTGAGTCAGTTAAGCATCTACCTTCAGCCCAGGTCATGATCCCAGGGTCCTGGGATCTAGCTTGGGGATCAAGCTCAGGGTCGGGCTCCCTGCTCCGCGGGGAGTCGGCTTCTCCCTTTGCCCCTCTCCCCAGCTCATATGCGTGCTCTCTCTCTTAATCTCTTAAATAAAACCACACACACACACACACACTCACACACACACAGAGAGAGAAAGAAAGAGAGCATGTGAGGGCACACAAAAATGGCAAAATGTTAAGATTTGACAAAACTATGAATGGTTACATGGATGACCTTTATATTAGTCTGTGTACTTGAATATTTCATAACCAGGTTATAATGAAAAATATAAATGGCTGGTAGAGATTAGTGTCATTCACGAAGTATGGCATTATACTACTATTATCATTCTAAGTTTAATTCATTTTACTGAACATGACCAAGCTAGTTAGGATAGGTAAGGTTAGATAATAATTCATTCTGGTACAGGATGGCCCACTAAAGATAAATAAGCTAAATTAGGTTAAGGTCCCAAAATGGACAGTCAAGTTAAAAAAAAAAAGTGAATCACACAGTCAGCATTCTCATTTGCCTAGGGATATCTTTGTTACATGAGTAACAGCATCAGTGTTTCCAACTTCCCTATAACAGCTATAACTAAGTGACCTACAATTTTTCATTTCAGTCACACTGGTCCATGTTTTTTTTTTTTCTGGTCCATGTTTTTACACACACACACACACACACACACACACACACACATCAATCCTCACCTCAGGGAAAAACAATTTTTAGGTATCTTTCTACATTCCAAAAAAGGGGATCAAGTTCAGAATCAGGAGTTGTAAAAAGTTAAAAAAATCATAAAATATTATGCCATAGACTATTATGGTATTACCAAAAGTATGAGAAATCCACTTAACTAAAATTACATTTTTTACAAAGACCTCCTTTCATTATATATTACACTATCTGTGAAATACATTTCTACTTTAGTATATAATACTATTAAGCATCTCTTCGAAAATTTATTTCTATTAAGAAAACTTCTATTAAGTTTTAGGGTAAATGAGGCCTCTGAAAAATACAGTTAAATATAAAATGCAACAGAGGCATCTAGAACTGTTTATTTTAGTAAGCCATCAACAAATTACCTCGTTTTCAACACGATTAAATTGATAGTGGACATATAGTATATAGATGGGACACAAGAATCTAAAGAATGTTAAGGATTGGTTTGTGTGGATGATGATGAATTCTATAAGGGAAGAAGTCCAATAATCAGACACTGTCAGAATCCAACAAATTTCCTCTTTGTTTCAAATGAGGACAGGATGTATTTTGTGATCTTGGAAAGAATTACTCGATATCTACTGTAAATTTATGCAACTGCAAAAGTATGCATCTGCCTGTGTATATACGTTTTTTATACTTCTCATTGGCTTTTTTCCCCCATTCCAATCATGCCTATTAGGGAAAATATTTGTTGCTCACAATTGTTGCATTTGTTCTCTCTCACATCTGTGTTTTCCTCACATAGCTTCTGCCCAAGTGACAAAAATCAGTGGTTTTGTGACCAGCTGGACCCTAAGAGCTGAACTTTACTGCCCACCTGCTTATACTCACCAACTTCTGTCCCATATTTTTCCTTAAGTTCTTCTTGCCAGCTTATCTCATAACTCAGGCAAACAGAAACAAAAACTATTCCTAAAGCCATAGCGACTGCCTGGACAAGATCCCCAGCCAATCCATACCAGTTTGAGTGCAACCCCTGACCCTGACTTGTGCTTGTGAAGACAGACTATGGATGACTAGAACTAGAATGACTGACAACTACCTCTGCCTTGTTATAACACTAAAATCTCTGCCCAATGAGGAGTTGAAGCCTCATTTACATAACATACACTGTGTGTATAAGCATGCTTCCTTAAGGAGCATGTCTGACCTATGCCTGCCTCTACAAAGGATGACAAGGCTTCCCTATCTAAAAATTCAGCTGAACCCTAAATAAAAGGAACCCATTCACCCTTGTTGGAAGAGTCATGGCTTTGGAAGTTACTCCCCATGATCTCCTTATTTGCTGCAAATAGTTTCCTTTGTGTGACAATTGTCCTGGTGTAGTTTTCTATCTGTGACTCACCAAGGAGAGAACTCATGTTCAGTTAGTTGAAAAAAGTGCCAGGCAAAATGAGAAGATTGATGAAAACAAATTTTGGTTGAGGGACTGCTATTCGGTGGCAATGAGTCACTGAGGAAACATGTAAGAAAAAGAATAGCAAGCAGTATTTGAAAGCTGCATTTAAAACTCAAATAGCAGATATTTACATAAGAAGTAGGGAATTACTTGAGAAATGGAGAAATAACATTTGAATACACACAGGTCTTTGAGGTAAACAGCCAATAATAACAATACAAATAATCATCACAGCTAACACTGAGTACTTACTACATACCAGAAGCTTTACATGTATTAACACACTGCATCCTATAGACAGAGTTTTATAGATTTGAAAACTAAGGTAAAGAGACATCAAGTGACTTACTCAAGGTCATTTAGTAAATGGTATTGCTGAATGAAAACTCAGGCAATATGGTTCCAGTGGCTTCTCCGTTAGCTATCATATGAACTGCCTCATTGTTAATATCATCTTTTCTTGGCATTATGAAGGAAAGCAACATGAAGTCAGATAGTCAAAGTTACTCTCAGAGTTGTTCTAATTCTTGACAAGTTGCAAAGATTATCACAAAGAATAACAATTTCTCACTTTCTACACGTTTTGTCTCTACACGTTTCTTTTCTATCTGTACATATTAAATGGATTATGTGCACTTCATTTTGGAAAGAACATAAGCTCAGAGTAAGAATAACCATGGGACTACTCATCTTTAGAGTACCTAGCAAATTATGAATACTTTGCAATTCACATTTTAAGAAGTAATTTATAGAGTATATTGGCAAGCTAGAGATTTTCAAATAGAGAAAGGGAGACATTTTACCATGAATTATTTGGAGGTAATAAGGCTCCACAAGACAAATGTTTTCTTCCAGTGAATTAAATGGCAGCCTAGCAACCCAAGGGTTAACACACTTTTAATGATGGACAATTAAGCTAGCAAAGACAGAAAATTCTACTGAGATGCCCTTGGTGCAATTCATACCACCCATCCTGGGGTCAACATAATGCCTACATAGCAAGGTAGCTCTATACACACACTTTAGGGTACTATGAGGCCTAGAGGCAAGCAACTATACATTTTATGAGACTTGCTTAAAAAAAAAACCTACATATGTACTAAATATAGTAGGTATTAACTACCAAAAAAGTCACTACAAAAATGCCTTTGAAACGCTTTATCTAATGTCATTA